TGGTTTACAGGGTAAGGAGGAAGATTTGTTAACTGATTGCAGGTATAACATAGTTTATATGTTACATTAGACCAAAAGTTGATTTTCATCAAGAATTTCATGAACAAATGATTGCATTTCTGAGACAAAAATAACTCAAAGTTAATACCTAATAAAAATCTAGTTTAGAAATAAGCTTTAACAGAGTGACGCTGTGGCTCAAAGGAGTAGGGCGCCGGCCCCATATACCAGAGGTGGTGGGTTCAAACCCAGCCCTAGCCAAAAATAAAAAATTAAAAAAAAAAAAAAAAAAGCTTTAAGCAGCCCACTATAGCTCAGTGGTTAGCACACTGCCCCCGCCCACCCGAGGTGGTGAGTTTGAGCCTTGCCTGGGCCTGATCAACAACAACAAAAAAAAAATAAGCTTTAATTCAGAAAACACTATTTATATTAAATCACAATAAAAATTTAAAAGCTACTTAAAGAGCGAAAGGGGTAGGTACAACAGCAAAAAAAGTAAGCGTTAATTCAGAAAACACTATTAAATCACAATTGAAATTTAAAAGCTACTTAAAAAGTGAAAGGGGAGTCATTGCAGCATTCTTTTTAGAAGCAAAAACTTTAAAAACAGCTCAAATGTCTATTCAGAAGGGAAGTAGTTAAAATACTATATACAATTAACTGTTAATTAGTAGGTTAATTAATATAGAGAGAGCAGCCATTAAAAAGAATACTGCCGGGCGGCACCTGTGGCTCAGTGGGTAGGGCACTGGCCCCATATACCGAGGGTTCAAGCCCAGCCCCAGCCAAACTGCAACAAAAAAACAGCCAGGCATTATGGAGGGTGCCTGTAGTCCCAGCTACTCCGGGCGGGGGTGGGGGCGGGGTGGAGGGGTGAGACAAGAGAATCACCTAAGCCCAGGAGTTGGAAGTTGCTGTGAGCTGTGATGCCACAGCACTCTACTGAGGGCAATAATACTCTGTCTCTGAAAAAAAAAAAAAAGAATACTGCTGCTTGCTCTATATAATTTTTTTAAACCTCCAAGATAAACTGAAAAATAGAAGCAAATGGCAAATATGTATGTAGTATAAAGTCATTTGTGTTTAAAAATGAATAAGCCTATGTGAAAATTTATGACATTTGTCTGGAAAGACACACAATAAGTTCATTATAGAGATTTCCCCCAGGGAGGGAAATTTTGTGGCTGAGAAAAAGAGGCTTCTCCGTTAATAATCCTTTGCCCTTTTGGAGTTTTGCATCATTTAAATTATTCAATCAAAAAAAATTTTTTTGAGACAGAGTCTCACTTTGCCACCCTTGGTAGAGTGCTGTGGCATCATAGCTCACAGCAACCTCAAACTCTTGAACTTAAGTGATTCTTTTGCCTCAGCCTCCCAAGTAGCTGGGACTACAGGCGCCCACCACAACACCTGACTATTTTTAGAGATGGGGTCTCACACTTCCTCAGGCTGGTCTCAAACTCCTAAGCTCAGGCCATCCATCCGCATCAGCCTCCCAAAGTGTTAGGATTACAGGCATGAGCACCACACTTGGCCTTTCAATCAAAATTTTTTAAAACAAGACCGGGTTTGCTGGCTCTCTCCTATAATCCCAGTATTTTGGGAAGTCAAGGCAAGAAGATCACTTGAGGCCAAGGAGTTCAAGATCAACCTAGGCCACATAGCAAAACCCAATGTCTACAGAAACTCCAGGCATAGTGATGCACACCTAAAAAAAAAAAAAAAAGGTTTAAAAAGTGAAAAAGTTTAAAAAGTAAACTTTAAGATTTTTTTTCTTTTTTTGAGACTAAGTCTCAACTCTGTCACCCAGGTTAGAGACAAGTGCTATGATCATAACTCACAACAACTTCAAACTCTTGGGCACGAGTGATCCTCCTGCCACTGCCTCCCAGAGTAGCTACAGGCCTGCACTAACCACACTCAGCTAATTTTTCTGTTTTTGTAGAGCTGGGGTCTCACTCTTGCTAAGGCTGGTCTCAAATGTTTGGCCTCAAATAATCCTCTTGCCTTCACCTCCAAGGTGACTAGGATTACAGGCATGAGCCATCACGCCCAACCTATATAAACTTTAAGCTTTTAAAGTGTGTCTTTGGTGGCCGGGTATGGTGGCTTACGCCTAGCAAGGCTAAGGTTGGTGGATTGCTTGAGCTCAGGAGATCAAGAGCAGCCTGAGCAAGGGCAAGACCCCATCCCTACTAAAAACAGAAAAAGTGGCCAGGCATTATCATGGTGCCTATAGTCCTAGCTACTCAGGAGGCTGAGGCAAGAGGGTCACGTGACCCCAAGAGTTTGAGGTTGCTGTGGGCTATGACACCACAGCACTCTACCCAAAGGAGAGAGTGAGATTCTGTCTCAAAATAAATAAATAAAGTCCATCTTTGTGTGAACAAACTCTTGTGCATAGCAGACATTCAATGAATGTTTGCTAATTAAATAAACCTAATAACTTATTCCTCTTCTATTCAAACTTCTTCTTTCTCTGGTGTTCAGGGAAGAAGGAAGAGGCAGAGGATAGCTGAAGCTTCCCATAATTCATCATGCCTTAGCCCTTACTGTGTGCTAAGGGTGTGCCAGGCATCATGCTAGCATTTTTTTTTTTTTGAGACAGAGTCTCACTTTGTCACCCTTGTTAGAGTGCAGTGGCATCATAGCTCACAGTAACCTCACACTCTTGAGTTCAAGTGATTCCCTTGGCTCAGCCTCCTGAATAGCTGGGACTATCAGAACGCCCAGCTATTTTTAGAGGCAGAGGTCTCCCTCTTGCTCAGGCTGGTCTCAAACCTGTGAGCTCAAGCTATCTCCTCACCTCAGCCTCCCAGAGTGCTGGGATACAGGCCTAGCCACCATACCTGGCCTCACGCTAGCATTTGACGTATGTTGATAATTCCAGGTAATTCTATAACACCTGCGAGGTAGGTAGTATCAGCTCTCTTTTACAGCTGAGAAAACTTAGACTCAGAGAGGTCAATGCCAGCCCACACAAATCACATTTTATACACACACCAAAGCCATTAAAGAAGAACTTTAAAAGTACACACAAAATTCTGTGGGGACTTTGAAGAGGAATACGCCCTATGCCTTCAAAAAGGGTCATAGTAGGGAAAACATTTAAGTATAATATTACTATGATGCAAGCCACGACTGAGGACCATGTGAGAGCTTTTTTATTTTTTATTTTATTTTATTTTTTTTTTTGAGACAGAGTCTCACTTTGTAGCCCTGGGTAGAGTGTCATGGCATCCTCATAGCTCACAGCAACCTCAAATTTTTGAGCTTAAGCTATTCTCTTGCCTCAGCTTCCTGAGTAACTGGGACTACAGGTACCAAACACAACACCTGGCTATTTTTTAGAGACGAGGTCTCACTCTGGCTCAGGCTAGTCTCGAACCCGTGAGCTCAGGCAATCCACCTGCCTCAGCCTCCCAGAATGCTGGGATTACAGATGTGAGCCGCTCATGTGAGAGCTTGACCAAGGAGAAATCTCCGGGGGAAGAGAAGGAAGGCTTCATAGAAGAAGGCGCCATTAAATAAGACTCTGAAAGGAGAGGCCGTGAAGAAGAGAGATGTGAAGATAGTTCATTTTAGGATTCAACTTGACCAGATGAAGGAATACCCAGAGAGCCAGTAAATCATTGTTTCTGGGTGTGTCTGTGAGGGAGTTTCTGGAAGAGACCCCCTTTTGAATAAGTAGATTGAGTAAGGAAGAGCTGCTGTCACCCAGCGGGCACCATCCATTCCCCTGAGAAACCAGATAGAACAAGAAGCTAGAGGAAAGGTGAATCCACTCTCTCTTCTGGAGCTAGGATAGCCTTTCTCTCTGCTCTTCCATCTTGGAAGCAGAGAGGGCCAGATCACACCACCCAGAACTTTCCACCGCCTTGATCTTGGGCAACCTGGCTTCCAGAACTATGAGGAAACAAGTTTCGGTTCTTTATTTAAAATAAAGAAGAAGAAGAAAAAGAAGAAAGAAAAAGTAGTATGAATCCACCTGTGCTCATGTACATCATCATATTTTATTCTTTTAATCCAACAACTCTAAGTATAAACATTCCTAATTTTAGATGAATGAACCAAAACTCAAGGAATAAACTTCCTCAAATGATCTAGTTCACAGTGAATGAATCCTTACTTTCGTATTTTTCAATCTTTTTAATCTCATAGCACATTTGAACCTATAGTTAAACTTCCGCAGTACACTTAAATTATGTTGATCAAAAAGAGTAAAAGAAAGAACATGCTTACTGTGCTTTGAACTTCTTTCAAACATAATTTAATTAAAGGTCTTTAAACATTTTGGTGGCATACCTGAGATCCTCTCACAGCACACAGTGTGCCCTGGCACGTGGCCTCCCTTCCCCCTCGCCTTCTCCAACAGAGACTGCCTCATGGACTGTGGCACAGAACTGCGCTGCCTCATGTGTTGGGGCATAACTTGTGTGCATCCTCGCAGGTGTGCGTGTATATGCCCTCTCACACTCATGCATTTCTTATCTCTCATGCAAGTATACGCTACTGGAGACAAGAATCTTTATTTCCTATTTCTTTTTTTTTTTTTCTTGAGACAGAATCTCACTCTGTCGCCCTAGGTAGAGTGCCTTGGCATCATCATAGCTCACCTCAAACTCTTGAGTGATCCTCCTGTCTCAGCTTCCCGAGTAGCTGGGACTACAGGTGCCCACCACCACGCCCAGCTAGTTTTTTCTGTTTTTAGTAGAGAAGGGGTCCTGTTCTTGCTCAGGCTAGTCTTCAACTCCTGAGCTCAAGCAGTCTACCTGCCTCAGCCTCACAGAGTGCTGGGATTACAGGCATGAGCCACTCTGCCCAGACCATATTTGCTTACATAAGAGATACTGGAATTTGCTAATATATTAAGGCTAAGTCTGCATATTGTAGCTATTTTATCCCCCCGTTATATGCTTATATAGGAGATACTGGAATTTGCTAATGTATTAATGCTAAACTAAGTCTGCATATTGTAGCTATTTTTATTTTGTGTAAAGGTTTTATGACAGCAGATGAAAGGAAGTTATTCAACCACCTCAAATCTCCTCATCTGAAATATTGGGTTCCATTTGTTTGGTTTGGAAATCTTGCAACTAAAGCCCGGAATGAAGGTAGAATCCGAGACAGTGTTGATCTGCAATCATTGATGACTGTAAGTACACTATAAACCATTAATAAAAATGCTAATTAGAGACCAAGAGGAACCTACATATAACACGCCAGACCAGAAGGAGTCTGCTTTGTTTAATCCTGTTTCCAAAGGAACTGGAAAGATCAGGCTTGCAGGAGAGCCCTCAGCACACAGGTTGAACTCAGCCTTGGCAGCAGTGTTTCAGATAGAACAAGGCTTCTTAATAGTCTCTATGAGAACGTGTCCCTTGATTGATTAGCCAAGACCTGCTCAGGGCTCTGAAGGATTCAGTGCCCACGTAGCATCTTTGCCATCCCTGGCTCTAGGATCCTAGAAGAAAATCTAGAGGAGAATAAGCCTCCCCAGCCATTTATGCCAAATTGGAATATTCTGAGGGTAAGCCAGCTTTTCAAATGCTCTAGTAAACAAAGCAGTGTTATTCTGAAACAAAATAACCCTGAATTCATGTAAAGGCTGGATGTATATGTGCTATGACATCTCCTGCCTGGATCAAGCTAAAAGTAGTGAATGATTTTTCTTTCTTTTTTTTTTTTCCAGTTTTTGGCTGGGGCTGGGTTTGAACCCGCCACCTCTGGCAGATGGGGCCGGCGCCCTACTCCTTTCAGCCACAGGCACCGCCCATAGTGAATGATTTTTTAAAAGCTCCCAAATTAATATGAACTCTTCTTTCTAGTTTTAGATAATGACTTAACATACAATGGAGAAAAATAGAAAAAAAAAAAAACGAAGGATCCCGACCCTCCTGCTTCAGAGAGAGATTTTCTGTCATACTGAGTGTTCTAACGTCCTCCTTGGTTAGGGGAAGGGTTTAGGTTGTAGTTACATCTCTTTTCTAGGATCTATAATAAGCTTGTTTTTAGAACAGAGAAACAAAACAATTTTTGCTTTCCACATTGTTTAGCAAAATAGCTAAAAGTTACTTATGTAAAATATTAACTATTGCCTTCCCATCACCACTGTGGACCAATATACATATGGGGTCTATTTTTACAAAGTCCTGGTTTATTTTAATATATATATTTTAAAAAGCATAATGTCCAAATGTCCTCCTCCTTTTCGCACCATTTTCAATGCTGTTCCTTGCTTGTCATTTTTGGAACTTTCCTTTTGTAGTAGTCTTGGAAACCAACTTACCAGACTCACAAATTCAGTCCCAGCAGTTCACAAACGCGTTGGTCAAAGACAAGGCACGTTCTGAACCTCAGGGAGCGTCTGCTGCCGCGCCCGTCCCTTTCGATACTGAGTCGTTTCTGATCTGTTTCTGGTTTAGGAGATGAACCGGTTCCGCTCCTGGTGCAGCCTCCTGTTTGGCTATGACTGGGTGGGGATCCCGCTGGTTTACACGCAGGTACCAGACGCTCCCCCTGACCCCTCCTGGCCGCAGCTCGGGGACGCCGCGCCCCTCTCACCGTCTCTCGGTTGCAGGTGGTCACTCTGGCCGTCTATGCCTTCTTCTTCACGTGCCTGATCGGACGCCAGTTTCTGGATCCCAGCAGAGGCTACGCAGGGCACGACTTGGACCTCTACGTCCCGATCTTCACTCTGCTGCAGTTCTTCTTCTATGCCGGATGGCTCAAGGTAGCCCACGGTCCCAGAGCCCGAGCCCCCCGCTGAAATGTGCCAAGTTCCCAACTCTCCGCCCTGAGCCTGCACTGAGTCTTTAGCAAACCATTCATGAATGGTCAAAGGCAGAGGTAACGCGCCATGGCTCCGGGAAGGGATTCCTTTCCCGCCAGGCAGTGCTGCGGCACCTGGAGCTGCTCCTCTGTGCAGAGAGGACAGGAGTCCTCTGTCGCGGCTGTTGATCTGTTAGGTCTCAGTGTGCCCCCGACAGGATTACCATACGTAACTAATGTATGACTGTGCCCGCCTTCATATTTCATACCACAGTAAGCAGGTAGGCAGAGTGAAAATGAGCGAGCAAGGGCTCGACCCCATAGCTCGGTGGTTGCAGCGCCAGCCACATATCGGAGGTGACGGGTTTGAACCCGGCCAGGGCCAGCAAACCAACAATGACAACTGCAACAAAAGAGGGATAGCCCGGCGTTGTGGTGGGCGCCTGGGGACTCAGCTACTCGGGAGGCTGAGCAGGAGAATCGCTTGAGCCCAGGAGTTTGAGGTTGCTGTGAGCTGTGACCTCATAGCACTCTACCCAGGGCGACATAGTGAGACTCTGTCTCAAAAAAAAGAAAAAGGAGTGAACAAGAAGCCTTGTCTATCAGATTTTAGCCTCCAAGCACTCATGTTGTAGTAGTGTCTTGGTTCTGCTCAACGCTGTAAATAGTTACTTGCAACTCCCTGAAATCCTACTCACTATCCCATAATATTAAATGCTTTCCATTTTCAAAACCAAGACTGAAACTCGGGAAAAAATTCATCAGAATCAAAATTAGAAACACTAGGATTAATGATGGCACTGGATTTAATCCAGGAAATTAAAAACAGGTCCAACCAGTGAGAACAGCTTGTCTAATTACCATTGTGGAATGTTGTGTGTTCCCACTCCCCCCGCCCAACTTCTCTCAAACTTCCTCAGATGACTCTGTATGAATTTCACAGGCCTGATTCCTCCACCTCTTTTGTAAACTTCCAAAAGGGACACATGTGATAGAAAAAAAAAAAAATCAAAGACAATGGTTTCATTAAGTTAACTGAAAACTAATGATAGCATGAAGATGACACCAATAAAGTAGAATTTTCAAAGTTTGGCCTTCCAAAAAGCCACATGCTGTCGGCACCATCAAAGGCTGCAGAGAAGCCTTTCCTTTCACTGGTTTGAATCTCAACCAGGAAAAATAAATGAATTGACATTTCAAATTATACTACAAAGAGGAAAGGCATGTCCCTTAAAAATTGCAAAAGTATTTTTAACCCGATGACAGTGATTCTGAATTATTTTTACCCATTTAACAGCAAAAAAGAGCAAAAGCGACTAATAGTTTTCATTTCTCATTAGAGGAAAAAGTAGAGTTTACCTTTGTGCATATACAATTGCCACGATTGCCCCAAATGCTCAGTCATTCTGGGTTTTTTTTCCTTTGCCCTGTGTAGTGCTAAGCTTTATTTTCTTTGCTTTGTGACCACGCCAGGTACTTAACCAGCCTAAAAGAGTAAATAGTGTTTCTTTCCTTCTGATGTGCTTTCTAAAATATTAACATCCTCTTCCTTTATAAAAATATTTTTAAAAGGCAAAATATGAAAAGGCATGATCTTAGCTCCATTAACAGACCGGCAAACCTAGACACCAGGGATTGTGTTTCAGTATCTAAACAGCTGCTCCATTATGACAACTCAGACATGAACAAATCTTTTCAAGGTGTAGAAAAGCCATCTTAACTTTATGAACAGTATATTACTCAGTTTCTTGCTGGAAATGGAGCCTCCAATGGAGTAAGGGATATCTTTGGAAATTGTCAGTTCAGAAATATAAATTCCTATTAAAAAATGCAAAACTCATCCCATAAAAGTAAAACTCTGGATATAACAAAAAATATTGTCAGGACCTAGTTAAATAATCCAATTAGTTTAAGCCAAACACCAGGTAAGAAATGGTGGCTAACTCCTTGGAACTCACAATAAAGGACATTGGGATGGATATCACAGTGAGGCTCACTCAGTCAGGGCACAGCCCAGCCTACCCCTGTCAGAGGTTCTTAACCCAGGCCTCACATTAAAATCTCCTGGGAACTTTACCCAGTACTAACTCTGGGTAAACCTCACACTGGGTAAAGCAGAGTCCCTAGGGGATGGACTCAGTCACCCTTTGTTTATTTTTAAGAGCTCTCCCCGAGGTAATTTTAGTGTGTAGCCAAGGTTGAAAACAACTGCTTTAAGTAACTTATCTTAAATCCTACAAAGTAAGTATGTAGATTTTCTCCTAAGTATTCTCAGGATCTAGAATATCCAGACTCTGGAGACTAACGACATAGTGCCTTTATTTTATATTCTTGTATGTTTCTTCCCATCTAGACCCAATGGAAAATCTCCCTCTCTCCCCTCTCACACATACACACATGCACACACATGTACACTCACAGATGCCCAGATAACAAAAATCAAAGGAAATTATTCAAAAAGGAGAATGACAGGTGAGTCATATTTGACACATAAATCTTGCATCAAAAAAGCTATTTAATACAGGAACATGATAAGAATATTTCATATTGACCAAATATTAGAAGATGTGTGATGGCAAGCTACCTAAATAAGCAAGATAACTAATTTACTAGGTAAGGGCCAATTCTTTAGGGTAAAACTAAGTAACCCTCAGTTTCTAGCTCTGTAACTTAGCAGCTCTCTGTCCCATTCACTCAGCAGTTACGTCCAATGAGTGTGGCAGCTCTTTATATTATTTTCTGTAATCTGTGACGTAAGTCTTTTCTGCTTACCCTTCTCCTTGTCTACACTTGTCTTATCATGTGGGCCCTGAGAACTCCTTAAAGGTACAGGCTGTGCGTCCCTCACAGTGCCCGCCCAGGGTTTGTGCTTCTTCTGTATCCACTGGCTGTATTGGGCTCCTAACCAGTGCTCGGCTTCTCCCGGGCAGGACCAGCTCTATCTCCAGTGGGATGGGCAAGTGCCTTCGGCAAGCGTGCCCACTCCTCGTGACTTGGGGCTCAAGTCTCACTTGCTGATAAGCATCTGTGTCTGTAGAACAATCCACTCCCTGCTAGGCTTCCTATGATGAAAGTGACAAACTGAGGCAGAGAGTGAAACCGGCATCGTTTCAATCTCTGTCCTCAGTCTTCACAGATATCATGACAGATTTATTCCATGTTCTCACCTGCAGGTAGCTGAGCAACTCATCAATCCTTTTGGAGAAGATGATGATGATTTTGAAACTAACTGGTGCATTGATAGAAATTTGCAGGTTAGGAAAACTTTTCTTTCCTTTACAAACATTAATAATAAATCACTAATGATGTTTGGAATCTAAACAGACCCTGGATACAGGCAGCCTGGACTTCTGAGTCCTAGCCACAAATGAAAGAGGTTTGGCCGTTCAGTACGTAAGTTATCCCAGGTCCTCCTGAGACCTCAGGCCCAGTGAAATTTAGTTCCTTTTAAGTGGAATTTCGAGCCAATTTTGTTTGTAAGTTTCTCTGTTAACTTTACCCAGCCTGTCCATCTGAGTACATAGAAATAATTTAACTTATTCTTCAATTTGTTTTCTGTTGCCACCCATAGAGGTTGACAGTGACAAATGTGAATTCCCAAGGTCACCTCACCTCAGCAGCCAAATGTCCCGTAGCTGGACACTGGGAGCCTGGGCCATGACAGCCTGTGTCTCAAATCTTCCTGAAACACATCACCTGGGCCCACAGCCCTTACCTAAAGCCCTGTCCCAGAAGGCTTTTCATGAACAGCCAGCACAAGGGAGCTTTCATGTCAAGCAAGACTCCTCAGACCATTCTTCTCCCTGGGAACCACAGAGGGAGTAAGAGCCTTTACCTTGCTCCCTTGTTGCAAGCCCTGACTCAGCTCTTAGATAAGCACAAACGTTACACAGTTGATCTCGTCAGTCTGTGTCGAGAGAAAGTGTAAGGTCTTGGTCACTCACTCCTTGTCAAAATTGGGTTCCCAAAGGATTAATACTTTATTCGTGCATAGATTTTTCAAAGCCAAGAGGAGAGATCACTGTAGCTTCAAGCCATGCGGACTTGTTGATAAGCTTTTCCAAGCAAACAAACAAGAAACCAAGGCATTTAAGAAGTGATTACATTTTAACAAGTAAAAATGTGTTCATGGGGTTAGCAGGTTGGAAGGCTGAAACGCCTCAGCTTCCTCTATTCTGTCTGGGGTGCAGTGGGTACTGTTGGGGCTGCCACTAGGACAGCAGCTCTGAGCAAAGAAGAAAGAAGTGGCTTTCCTCCCTGCCAGTGAGCAGCAGCTCCACACGGGCACACCACTTACCCTCATTGCCAAAACTCTTGCACAGTAAATGACGGCACAACTCTTCAGTAGCTCTGGTTGTGACAGGAGTGAGCTATAGAAGTCTATATACTCACTCACTTAGGCCACGTCCCAGGCCTCTCCGCCATGCATCCACCCACTGGGAATTCTCTTTTTTTGTATGGTTGTATCTGAGTTATTCTAACATTATCACATTGATTTTAGGTCTCTCTTTTAGCTGTGGATGAAATGCACATGAGCCTACCCAAGATGAAGAAGGACATTTACTGGGACGACTCTGCTGCCCGCCCACCATACACGCTGGCGGCTGCTGACTACTGCATACCCTCATTTCTGGGATCAACGGTCCAAATGGGGTAAGTGTGTTGAAATCTATAGTATAAGGAAACATAGTAGATGACTGTTTTCTTCTTTTACTTTCTTTGACTTTTTTCTACCTGGCCTTAGTACTGTCTGTCTCTATTGGGTGGTTTTAACATAACATTGGGTCCCTATAGACTCAGGGCCTTGAATAAATGGGCAGAGGCCCAAAGTAAACCAGGCACAGCTCTAGAATAATTATATTAAGTCTGATAATATATTTGATTTTGAAGAAATGTGTGGATGTGGGGAAAGCTTAAGTACATCTGTATTTGCTGAAAGCAGATGCCACAGTTTCCAAGTAAATTAATGAAAAGAACATAAACAAATTTAGAAAGTAAGAACCATTTCCCTTTCCACCCTCCTCCCCAAAAAAAGACTTTAGAAAAAGGGGAAAAAAATGTGGATTTTTTTTTTTTAACTTTTGGCAAAACTATGGTTTAGGGTTCCCTGAGACTGCCTCCCATCAGATTTGTGAAGCTCTCCTGTGACCACCACCTGTGACCTCCCTGCCCCTCCTCCCAGAAGTGGTCCGCCCTCCCCTTTCCCTGCTCTCAGGACACTTGGCTTCAGTCCCATTCCTGTGAAGTTTTGTCCTCAGCTGAGTATCTCCTAATCCTCATAAATGATGGTATTCCTCATCCAAAGGAGGCTGAAAACCTTTCCAGACCCCCAAAAAGGATGAGATGACTGAAGGTGGAATTTGTGCAGATAATCAGGAAGATTTAGGAGCCAGACTTTCCTTGTCGCCCTCAAGGACACCTTAGAGAAGGGCCCCCCTCCAGGCTAGACTTGCTCCTGCTTCTAGATAGCCTGCTAGACTTTCCCACCGAGGGCCCCTTCTGGGCCAGGAGACTCAGCCCTCCCCCAGCCCCTTCCAGGTGAAAAGTGCCTTTCTGTTGCGTACACTTCTCAGCCTTTGTAACACCCTCTACAGGGCAGCTTCATAGGCATTTGGCAGCCTTCTCAGTTTTATTATTAAATCATAGCTGTGTACATCAATGCAATCATGGGGTACAATGTGCTGGTTTTATATACCATTTGAAATATTTTCATCAAACTGGTTAACATAGCCTTCACTGCATTTTCTTAGTTATTATGTTAAGACATTTATACTCTACACTTACTAAATTTAACATGTACCCTTGTAAAATGCACCATGGGTGTGTTCACACCAATTACCCTCCCTTCACCCTTCCTCCCCCCCTCCTCTCTCCTCCCTCTCTTCTTTCCCCTTCTTCTTGGGCTATAATTGGGTCATAGCTTTCTTATGAAATTGGTTTCATAGTAAGTCTGAGTACATTGGATACTTTTTCTTTTATTCTTGAGATACTTTGCTAAGAAGAATATGTTCCAGCTCCATCCATGTAAACATGAAAGAGGTAAAGTCTCCATCTTTCTTTAAGGTTGCATAATATTCCGTGGTGTATATATACCACAATTGATTAATCCATTCATGGGTCAGTGGGCACTTGGACTTCTTCCATGACTTAGAAATTATGAATTGGGCTGCAATAAACATACTGGTGCAAATATCTTTGTTATAAAGTGATTTTTGATCTTCTGCATATGTACCTAGCAGAGAAATTGTAGGATTGAATGGCAGGTCTATTTTTAGATCCCTAAGTGATCTCCAAACGTCTTTCCAAAAGGAACGTATAAGTTTGCATTCCCACCAGCAGTGCAGAAGTATTCCCTTTTCTCCACATTCATGCCAACATATCTGTTTTGGGAATTTTGTGATATGGACAATCTTAATGGAGTTAGATGATATTTCAAAGTGGTTTTGATTTCCATTTCTCTCATGATTAAGGATGATGAACATTTTTTCATATGTCTGTAGGTCATGCACCTGTCTTCTTCAGAAAAGTTTCTCTTCAAGTCCCTTGCCCACCCTGAGTTGGGATCACTTATTCTTTTCTTAAAAATACGTTTGAGTTCTCTGTGGATTCTGGTTATTAAACCTTTGTCGGAGACATAATCTCCCATTCTGAGGGCTGTCTGCTTGCTTTACTTACTGTGTTCTTGGCTGTGGAGAAGCTTTTTAGTGCAGTAGTGTATTTTTGATGCTGCTTCAATTGCCTAAGGGGTCCTTGTCATGAAATATTGGCCCAGGATGATTTTTTCAAATGTTTTCCCTGCACTTTCTTCTAGTATTTTTATATTTTCATGTCTTAAGTTTAAATTTTTAATCCAGTGAGAGTCTATCTTAGTTAGTGGTGAAAGGTGTGGGTCCAGTTTCAGTCTTCTACAGGTTTCCAGCCAGTTCACCCAGCACCATTTGTTAAATAGGGAATTTTTCCCCCCTCAATGTTTTTAATTGGCTTGTCAAAGATCAAATAACAGTAAGTAGCTGGGTTCATCTCTTGGTTCTCTATTCTATTCCATACATCTACCTGTCTGTTTTTGTGCCAGTACCATGCTGTTTTGATCACTATTGATTTATAGTATAGTCTGAGGTCTGGTAGTGTGATTCCTCCTGTTTTGTTTTTATTTCTGAGTAATGTCTTGGCCACTCAAGGTTTTTTCTGATTCCATATAAAACCAAGTGTTATTTTCTCAAGCTCTTTAAAGTATGACAGTGGAGCTTTAATAGGGATTAAATTAAAATTATATATTGCTTTGGGTAGTATGGACATTTTAACAGTGTTGATTCTTCCCAGCCATGAGCATGGTATGTTTTTCCATTTGTTAACATTGTCAGCTATTTCTTTTCTTAGAGTTACATAGTTCTCTTTATAGATATCTTTCATGTCTTTTATTAGGTAAACTCCCAAATATTTCATCTTCTTTGGCACTACTGTGGAAAGAATAGAGTCCTTGACTGTTTTTACAGCTTGACTACTATTGGTATATATAAAGGCTACAGATGTATGAGTGCTGATTTTGTAACCTGAGACACTGCTGTATTCCTTGATCACTTCTAAGAGCTTTGTGGTAGAATCCCTGGTGTTCTCCAGATATACAGTCATATCATCTAAGAGTGAAAGTTTGATTTCCTCTGACCCCATATGGATACACTTGATGACCTTTTCTTGCCTAATTGCAATGGCTAAGACTTTCATAACAATGTTGAAAAGCAGTGGAAACAATGGGCACCCTTGCCTGGTTCCTGATCTGAGTGGAAATGATTTCAGTTTAACTCCATTCAATATGATATTGGCTGTGGGTTTGCTGTAGATGGCCTCTATCAGTTTAAGAAATGTCCCTTCTATACCAATTTTCTTAAAGTGTTCTGATCATGAAAGGATGCTAGATATTATCAAAAGCTTTTTCTGCATCAATTGAGAAAATCATATGGTCTTTGTTTTTTATTTTGTTTATGCAATGAATTATATTTATAGATTTACATATATTGAACCAGCCTTGAGACCCTGGGATAAAACCCACTTGGTCATGGTATATAATTTGTTTGATGTGTTGCTGGCTTCTGTTTGCTAGGATTTTGTTGAATATTTTCACATCAATATTCATTAGTGATAATTGGGCTATAATTTTCTTTTCTTGTTGGGTCTTTTCATGGTTTGGGGATCAAGGTGATGTTTGCTTCATAGAATGTGTTGGGTAGTATTCCTTCTTTTTCTATATTTTGGAAAAGGTTAAGTAATATAGGTACTAGTTCATCTTTAAAGGTTTGTTAGAATTCTGATGTGAAGCC